GGTGAAGCAACTAAGCTGTGTGGCTGCAGATGCAAACCTTTCATCTGCCCAAATAAAAGAGTTATTATCTTTGGCTGAAGCTGATCAGGTGTTGAGTAGCATTTGAGCAGCACATCCTGGCAGCGATTTGTATGAGAAATACACTGTGAAGATGAGACTTTGATGTATTTGCAACTTCTGAATTCCCATTATGTTTTTGATTGTGCTGCCCTTGGGAGAGCCTGGGACATCTTCCCTTGGCTGAGCTGGAGCCCAGGAAGGGAATTTCACGCTCTGCTCCTCCACGTTATCTTTTCTATTCTGAGATAACTTTTCTGCTTCTTTCTATAATTGAAGAGAAGCTTGGAGAAATGCGTTAAAAGCAGCAAGTCAGAGAACATCAGCCTTGCCTTAGGGAGACAGGGAGATGCTGGGAAAGGGAGGGAGAGATGCTGGATGGTAGACACAAGGTCGTTTTGTTTGGAAGGGACCTCTGCAGGGCTCTAGTCCCTAGTATTGGGACCATCACCAGCACTAGACCAGGACAACCCTGCTTTTGTCATGCTGAGTTCTGAAGACCTCCTGAAATGCTCTCTGGGTAACCCCTTTCAGTGCTGCGCTGCACTGGGCTTGCTTATTAAGAACTAAAGCAAATAATCATGGTGGGGAATTTCCAGAAATATCTTGTTTGTTTGTTTGTTTGTTTTTTCCTGCTGGAAAAGGCTGATTTGTTTAAACAAAGTATTGGGCTGATCTGGATCAATGTAGCTGGAGCTTCTGAACTGAGACCTGGAGGTTTCATGGGGGACTGGCACCCACCCAGAGATCTGGCTGCCGGGGTGCTCGGCTTGAGCTCACAGTCCCTGGGCAATTGGACTCCCAGCTGCAATGTGCCCTCTGTCTGGTGTTACCACCCCACCTTTCCCTGGGAGAAAGTCTGAAAAATGGCAACATATTTCAAGAAAGGAAGGTAGAGAAGAAAAACAGCTTATAAGTGCTTTGAACCGATGAAAAAGCAGCAGAAAGTCAGTACAACTCTTATAGAGGCCCATCCCCATGATAATCTGCAATCAGGGATGTGGTTAGGCAAAGAGGTGACTTCCCAGGTGCATTTTAACATTGGGTGGGATTTTGGGGGGAGAAATTTATTTCTCTCTGGAGTACGCAGGAGGCACAGTGATTGCTCTGGGAAGCCTTGCTGGTTGTGTGGCAGTAATTACCCTCTGGGCAATTTCACTTAATTAAGCCCACTGAGGAGATGCTCTCACAGCATGATTGTTGCTCTTTAAACTCCCACATATGAGGGAGGAGTATTAGGCTTTGAGGACTTTTCTTTTTCTTTGAAATAGTTGAGTGTGAACCAGCAGGGAAAACTATTTCCCTATCACCAATACATTTATCTGGTCAAATTATCCCACTGTATTTAAATGGTGGTGGGTGGTGAGCAATAAACAGTCCTTTTTGTGGCCAAATTAGTTTATAGCTTGATTTTTCAGAAGATGCTCTAGGCTGAAAGCTGAGCTCTCATGTTTGGCTCATATTTCTGTCGGAGGAATTAGGTCCCAAGAGGCAAATGGAGGATCTCCAAAGTATATCTTTGCCTTGGAAAGTAATCTCCAAGGGTGCACATCCGCAGTAAAACTGGGGATGCAAGCTTGTGCTGCTGCACATTACAGCTTCGTTGGTTGGAAAGCAGCGAAAAAGGCCTGAAACCAAAAAGACTCGGATTTTCTTGATTTTTTTTTTTACTTTGAAAGAAAAGCTTTTGTTTTGGAAAGAGAGAGGATAGATGTGGCCCCTATTTTGCAGAAAAAAACCCTGTGTAACACAGAAGTCTTTAATGTTTTCTTCATTTAAAGTTTCATTTGAACATTATTATATTCTGCTTAGTTAGTTGGGTTATGGGTTCAATAAGTTCTTTAATTAGTCACACTATTAATGTAAGAATGCTTAGAATTAGAAGCTAATTCACAGCCAAGTGCTCTGGTAGCTGAAAGATTTTTTTCTTTTTTTTTCTGAAAAAATCAGAATAACTTGTTCTTATTTTTCTTTTTCATTTATTGTGGCTTACGGGCATGTTGACTATCTGGAAGCTTAAAAAAAAAATGGTAGCTAATGCTTGCCTAGATGTTTCCATGTTGAAGGGCTTCGTGATATGCAGTCACTTCAATAATCTCTGCTGAAGGGCAGTGCTGGGATGAAGGGTTAGGGATGCCCAGGGTATTTGTGGGGAGCAGAAGCTTGAAATCCAGATCCTGAATGCTTTCAGCATAATAAAACCCCTACTGGCATAACCCACTCCATTTGGCTAATAAAAGCCCCATAACACTGATGGAGACATGGCTGCGATGTTCCTGATGGACACACTCCTGTGGGATGGAAACATCCCAGGAAATGCCATGGGTCGCACTCAAGTACCCATTGATTTCTTCTTATAAATTTTCATCTGAACGTTATCATATTTTTTATTAAGTCCACTCATGGCTTCAGTAATTTCTTGGATTAGGTTTATTCTTAATGTAAGATGGCTTAAAATTAAAAGCTGCTTCTCAGCCAAGTTTACATTCAAGCACAATTAAGTTAAATAATATGATGGCAGAATGGGGGAATTAAAAGATCATTTTTGGCAGCAGCAGGTCAATTATTACAATGCAAAACCACATGGAATACAGTAATTGATTTTTTTCTGAGTAATGTGCCCTAGCTGCAAGTCCATAACCACTTCAGTAGGTGTTTACAAACACTAACTGGCTTCTGAAAAATATTATTTAAAGACTTTGTGGGTGATGCTAATGTGGAAACTACAGCTGTGCCTGAGAGTATCAGTTGACTTCCCAGGCTCTGTGCTTGCATTTACTAACCAGCCCATGAGAACTTTGATGACCATTTGTGGTCCTCAGGCCAGTGTGGGGTGTGCTGGTGTTGAAAATACATCTCCTGTGTTCTTTCCCCAGCTGAATTTTCTCTGCTGGTGAATTGCTGAGGCTCTGTGTTAGCAATCACACACTGGCAATGCGCTGTGCACTAGTTGGTCAGGAGTTAGCTCTTTTTCTGTAGCATTTCAGATCTGCATATTCAGTGAATTTGGGCATAAGAACATCAAGGAGGGAAACTGAGCTTGCAGCATCCCCAGGGGGTTTTGTGGCATTCACTGAAGTAATTCCAGGGTTTGAGAAAGATCATAAATCTCCAAGGGAATTAAGATGAAGTACTGTGAAAGCTCATTTTTCAGAGACGCGTCTACAGCCTGCACCTCTGGCTGAAGCTTGTGCCAGCAGCTTCCACGTTGTGTGTCCTGCACCACGAAGGTGTCTGAGATGGGAGATGACTTTTTTTATACTGTGACAGGCATGAGTTACCCAAAAGGGCGTGTGATTCAGTAACTTGTGCTTTTACAGCATGAGACAGATTGGGTAGCACCTTCTGTCAGCCAGCATCTCATGGGATCCAGATGTTCATGTTTGCCTCTGGCGCCTGGCACGTCCCACAGCTCAGGCGTGGCGGTGAAGATGTCCCCAGTACTGGCACTGGGGGCTCTGCTTTTGGGGAGAACCTGGGTATGGGTTGCACTGTGAATTTGGGGAATTTCCTCCCCAGCTATCACCAGCACACACATATGTTTCTGGTTAGCTGTAATGCATCTGGCTAACATGTCTTGGAGACGAAATGCAACTAGTGAGGGGCCAGCAGGGTCCTCGAACTGCAGGCACTTGCATCTTCTCAGACAGAGCCTAAAGAGAAAGAAAAAAATCTCCTATGTTAGTGTCTCTGCTAAAGCAGAAGCGCTCTTGATAATGCTATTGGAGTGAGAAATGCAGCCTGTGCCCCGTCCTGCTGGCACCCACAGCCCAGCGAGGCTGCTCTGCCTCACAGAGTCTGGGTCTGCTGCAGAGGGTGGCAAAAGATTTCAGTAGAGATGAGATGTTCCAGGGTACTTCAGGTTGCTGCAAAGGCACCACACTTCATGTTGTGAGTCCTTAATGACAGAGTTCAGCATGGCCTTGGTAGTGAAGAGCAATCCCAAATTAAGGCTTTTCCACCACACATCGCACCTTCAGAAGGATGTCTTATCCCAAGAGAGGGCCAGCAGTGAATGAAAGCTTCAGGAGGGAAGAGCCCAGAGCTGGGAACATCCCTGTTGGTCACGGCATGGGTGAGCAGTTGGGAGGATTTTGGGATTCAGGGCAGGACTGTGAGAGGCGGCTGCTGCTGAAAGTGGTATTGAAAACATCTCTTTCCCTAATCCACTTATCTGGCAGGTCAGCCAGAGCAGGGGTGAGTTTAGTTAAAGAAATAGCTTTCCAGGACATAAATGGATTGATAAAATATAATCTATTAAGAGATCTTTCCAGTGCTTGAACAGCACTAATAATTGTGTGGGAATCTGAGACACAAAGAGATTAGCAGCAATCTTTACTTCCCGTGCAGGTTGTTTATTGAGTTGTCATTAGGTAAACTAAATGTTCATGTATTAAGAAATAATTGTGCAATTTTACCTGGAGGGAGTCCCAGGCAGGAACTGGAACTCATTGTGGACGTTTTGCAAGGGTAGAATTCAGGAATGTTGACCCATCTAGATAAGTTAATTGTGCCCGTTTTTATTCCAAGCAAATAGGAACAAACAGGTTCTGGTGTCACACTGGGGACCTCATAGGGATGTTGCCAGGGTGGATATTTGGGAGGAAGGCAGGGGAGTTGCTGTGCCGCATGGGTACAGTCTTCCATAGGCACAGGGCCCCTCTCAGGGGTTGTCCAAAATAATGTGTGAACTCATCTTGACTGTGCAAATGCTGAAGATGCAGAGGTGTGAGGATGCTCTGGGTGGCACCAACCATTGCCTTCTCCTTAGGCTGTTCCCACCAGTGGGTAGGGATGCCAAGGGGTGGGTGACTTTTCAGGTGGGTATCTGGGGTTAAACCTGCAGAAATCTGAACTGTATCCTTTGTCCTTTACATTAAAATCTTTTTTCTCTCTCTTTTTTTTCCTGCTTCCTCCCCTGCCTCGTCCTCCCCCTCTTCCAGCAACGTGGACACCAAGGAGTTGTGTGGTGAGTGTGGTCACTCCCTTGGGGCAAAAACAACGGCTACATGCATGTGGACTTTCAAAGGATGCATGAAACCCGTTACAAAGCTGGTGGTGCAGTGGGGGTGCAGAGCTGGTGTCTCAGCACTTCTGCTGCTTCACCCCTTATTCCACAGGAAAACTGGCAAAAGTTTTCTTTGTTTTCTTGCAACACAAATGGGGTCAGAGCTGAGTGGAGCACTTGGCTCCTGTTCAATAACGAGCTGGAGTTTAATTTCTGGCAATGTCATGGCTTCCAGCTCCACTCTGAAGTTCAATAAACCAGTGTCCCTTCGATACCCGTAATGTGCTTTTCCTTAAGCAAACCTCCATGTGTCCCAGCAGGATGCCTAAGGAGTGCAGCGCCTCTGCTGCACCTCCCATGACCCGCAGAAATTAAAGGCTGAAAAGACTATCTGTGATAGTGTTTCATCCCACACCTTGAACAGAAAGGGCATGTTTCCTGCTGGGATTTCTGAAGGGTTTTGCCTCCATGGGAGCTGACTCATGCAGAGGGCTCCTGCTACTCACTCGGGTCTATTTTTCCATGGACACTTGGTTTTGGGAAATGTTTCCTGTGTCCCGGCTCTTTGGGAGGAGATGGGGAGGCAGAGGTGTGTGGCCTTCCAGAGGGCTCATCCATCTCCTCTCCTCCCCTCCCCTCCTGTGCTAGGATACAGAAGAACATCTAAAGTCACCTTTGCAGATGGCCATTTACCTTCATCACTTATATGTTAATAGAAGAATATATAATTATACATATAAAGAAACTAAGCCTTTCATTAAATCTTTTTGGTTTGCTGATGATATGTTGAGCTTGTTCCCATCACTCCTTCCTTATTGCATTAGGTCTCCTTGCCAGATGACCCAAGAAACCAAAACCCCACAGCTTGTACTTTCACCTTTGCTAGAAAATACAGGGACAGTAATGTCATTGCTTGACCCCACCCTGCTTTCTCCATCAGTCTGATAAAATCAGAAAATCACACAGCTGTTACCCAGCATGATCCCACCTCACTGCCTCTCCTGGGGATGATGCTACCAGGAGAGGAGGGAGATAACCTCCTCAGCCTCCCGTTGGAGGTGATTGATCAGTGTGAGAGCCTGTAGATCACTTATCTGCTGAATACCTGTCCTTGTCTGCAATTTCTTATTTGCTTGCTATTCTTCTAAGCATTAGTTTAAATATAAAACCTCATTTCAGCAAAATGGAGGCTGTGGTCCCTCTCTTGAAATGGGTTGTGTGTTGTAGGATGTTGAAAGCATCTTAAAAGGGATTTCTTGATCCTTGCAGTTTATATGAGAACTTTGATATGGCTTAATCCATATCAGGTACCATCTTAAAAAGTTCTGGCTTTTTTTCCTGCCAACAAATGCAACAGTTCACCAGCACCTAGACTCACTTAAATATGGTCATGTAGCTCCTCATGCCCAGAGGAGCTCCCAGTCACAGGACAGCTTGCAGAACTTAATATGCCCAGAAAATGCACATGAACATTTTTCCTTTGCCTTTAAGATCTACTCAGCCTTTTTTTCTCAAGCAAAGTAATAAGAATAACACAAATAAACACACTGTGGTGAAAATAAGCTGTTTGGCTTACTGTGGAACAGCAAACAGCTGCTGTCAATCACGCTGTGACATTCTGGTTTCTGCCAAAATCTTCTTCCCCTTGGATATGTTCTCAAGCTGTAAATAGCTATAGGTAGTTCTAATTAAACCAAGAGAACCTAATTAGTGGGATTGTTTCCTGGAGTTTATGTCTTGTTGCATTCTACAGAGATGTCACTTTGGTGTGAAGCTTCATGCTTTAGTGCTAAGGAATGGTGCCAGTGGCTTTTAAGGAACAGTTTTTAGCTGTGGTCTGTGTCAGTCACCCAGAAAACAGGTAACTTCGTGTTGATGCTAGAAACTCACCGCAAGCCTCACCGCCATACATCACTTCTCACTGTTTCCATTGTGAACAATGAATTTCAGGACTCTGTAGCTCATGCAGAGAACCCCACCAGGGCTCAGTGTGTCACGGAGCCATTGGCTGCATTGGGACACACTGCTTCTGGCTGTACTTTCTGTTGATGAAGAGTGGCTGGGATTGCTGGAGCTGTGGTGCAGCCTGGTGTGGGTCACCCCTCCCACAGGGGGGATGAGGATGGCACAGAGAAAGTGTGAACTCCCTCTCTGTGGAGAATAGGTGCTTTTGGACCCAACTTGCAGCTCCATTCTCTTCCTTTTGAAGCGCATTTTGCTCTCAGGAGTGTGTGCAACCTGTGATTGTGGGCTGAGGTGCAAATGGGATGGGAACATAGGGAAAGATGTAAGCACATATAACTTGGGGTTAGCACATATAACTTGGGGTGAACCTGGCAGGTATTTGGATGCTTGGATTGGTAAAGACTGTCAAGGGAATGGAAAGGGGATTTCTTTCAAGGCTGCTCCCTCTATGTTGGCAATAAGAGGGAGAGAGCCAAGATATGGTCAAATGCAGAAGTGGGCGTGGAAATTGAGCACCTGGTAAGTTATTTTCAATGGAAGCTACTGTGCCTTGCATCTCTTTTTTATAATGGTACCAAACTCCACAGGAATTGTACCACTTCCTGTCGCTGCAGGACAAACCATGACTTTGACTCAGGGTATAGAATATATTAAAGTGTAACTGAAACCACACTCTCAGTTTTTGACCAATAAATAGACATTGTTCTGTCACGTAGCCTTGAAGTGTTAAGTTACATCAACAGTTCCCGTCATGCCCCTCTTGATTTTCCCAGACTATTTTGCTGACCACATGGGAGACTATGAAGACGTCTTGGCCTCACTGGAGACGCTGAACCTCTCCATCCTGAAGGCGATGGACTACACCAAGCGGGTGAGTCTTCTTTACTGCGCCTTGTGCTCCACGGGCTCAGAGCAAACAGTGCAAATGTTACCAGAACATCTAAATCCAAAAGTCTTCATCCTGTTCAGCAGTGTTGTTTACCTGTGCAGTTAAGTGGCTCATCACAGCAACAGGACGACAATGGCCTTTTTTTCTGTTAACAGCAAATAAATCTTGAAAATATTGGCCAGATAGTCAACGAAATGCCAATGTCTTGTGCAGTAGATGGTGGCACAGGCGCTTTGTGGCAGAGCAGCATATCTTTTCAGCACCCTTCCTAAGTCTGACCTTCCTAGGTTTTGTCTGTGCCATGCCTTACACTCTGCATTGTATAAAGCTCAAAGGTGCTCCTGATGTCTTCTGGCAGCACAGCCTATGGGTCTCTTGAGTGGCATTTCGAATGCTTGAGTTCTCGTTAGTGTCATTGGGCGTGCTTTTGGAAACATCATGTTATAAAGCTGCTTGTGTGGTGGAAGGTATCCTAATTTCCAGCAATACATGTGCACAGCTGTGGTGTTAGAAGCTAGAGGGCTATGTGTTTGAAGAACTGCAGGGGAAGTGTTCTATTTTATACATGCAGGGTACCTCCAGCTTCTTAAAAAATCCACCATGTACCTTAATGATGTACTATTAATAATGGACTACTAGACAGTGGCACTGATCAAACAGCATACTGAAGTATTTTTTGAAAATATCTAGAAAATCTGAGCTGATGTACAAGGTAAAGGTACCCACTGAGAGGTGCACTTATGCACTTTGGTGTCTTACCAGGTGGAGAGAAGTGTTTATAGAGCTCTTGTTCCTCCAAAACCATTTTCTGTCGTTTCCATACCACTTAATAAAGTGATTGGTGATATTTATTACCCCAGGATGATCAATCCTTCTCCCACTTCTACTTTCAACTGTATTTCCATCATTTTGTGCCACAATGAGAGAAAAGTAGCCTCTCCTCTTCCCTGGTGAGCAGTGATGTGGTGCACTGAGGACTGAGCCAAGGAAGGAGCTTTTACTTTTTCCAGGCACCTGTAAGGGCTTCCTGATTAAAATCCAGCTCTCCTCCAAGTAATCCAGATTGAAATCTCCCTTCTGTTTATCTTTGAAGCTAAAGGAGAAACTCAAATTACTCCACATTTAAGGTGTGGGAACAATAAAAAAAAATAGGAGTTAGAATGGAAAACAGCAAATTTCTTTCCCCTCTGGTTGCTGAGTAAAGATCCTGATCTCCTTGCTGTATCCAAATCCATCCTTTTTAATGTGAGTGAGGAGAGCAGCATGAAAAGCAAAGCCACAGATTTCACATGTTGATGTCTTGCCATAATAAACTGAAGGCAAAAGTTTCTGGCCAAGCAATGATCTGTCTGAAGTGTTTGGGGGTTTATTTATTTATTTATCTATTATTTGTTTATTTAAATTTTATTTTGTTATTTTTTTATCATTTTTATATTGTTTTGTGATTTTTTAGCATAGTATGAGGGGGTAAAACAATTCAGGACAACAGTAATAGTTCATTTTTTTCTAATTAAATTGCTAAGTCTGATCATGCCTCATTTATATTCATTATCAGTAAATTTTCTGGCAGTCAGATTTGCCAACTATGTATTTTAAATGCGTGTTAATATAGCTATCTCAGTAATTCACTCCAACTTAATATTCATCATACTTTGGAAGGAAATAATGGAGGAAATAATTTCAAATGTGAGGTTAATATATACGGCTAATTCCTCAGAGTGTTTTGCAAGAGGAAGATGGCTTATTCCTTGTTTATAAAGGAATCTTACATGAAATTCCTGAGCACGTGGATGTTACCTTGAGTAAGAAATCACAGCAGAGGTAGGATGGTTATTCATAATCCCAATCCACTGGGATGCACTTCCTAAGATGAGCATCTTTCTCCCTCCTTAGTTCAACAACTCGTGGCAGGATCCACCTGCCTTAATTGCAGCAGGTAAAGGTTATTTACCTAAACTGAGCCATTCACCCCTGTCATGGTCTTGTGGAGGGAGAGATCCAGAGCACTGGAGGCATCTTCCTCCTGTGACTCCGAAGGATCTCAAACACAGACATCTCCCTTTAAGTGGCTAAAGCCAGGCAAGGGGAGCGTGGCCCCAGCATCCCCTCATCACCCCTGTTTTATCAGCCGATGTGGTGTGTTGCTCTTCATCACCCGGCAGACTTTTGGGAAGTGAGCAGGTGGAGCAAGACTCCTTCACAGAGAGGAGCTGGTGAAGTAGCATTTCATAAACATTCATAAAAAATATCGGCTCCCTGCTGTGATTTTGTGAACAACGTGGTACAAACCTCATCAAGGATTTATTCAAACACATGCCCTGTGTGTAAAGAACTGAAGGGGGGGGAAAAAAACCACCCGAACAGAAAATAAATCGTTGTAGGTGGTAGAGAAACTCATCTCCAACATTCAGATAGGACAGACTTCCAGGCAGCATCAGAAGCTTTTCCTGAGTGCAAAGCATTAGTGCTTTTTTTTTTTTCTGAGATGTGAGATTTTTCCCCTATATTTTTTTTCCAAAAAAAATGTATTTGTTTACTAGACTTTCTGGTTTTAGTGTCAGGATTTCCAAAAGAGAGTGTCAGAAGAAAGCTTCTTAGGATTCGAACTGATAAAATACTCCTGCTGAGGTCTTCTCATCAGGTTCCACCATCTGTATTCCTATACCCCAGCCTGGGGGATGTCGCAGGGGTGGTTTTTTCCTCCTGGGCTGGGCGCACACCTACAAGGTAACGCTTCAGCCCCAGGGAGAAGATTTTCTATCCCAGGATTGCAAAAACTGGTGCGAGCTTTCTGAGGAGTCCCCCCATGCAGATGTCCTTCTGCTCCATCTCTTCCACACGTAATGCTGTAACCAAGGGCCCTGTGCTGATGTTTAGGAGACAAATATATTTTTCAAAACGCTGGATCAGAGAGCAGACTGCCAAAGCAGCAGGTTTTGGTAGGACCCGAGTGTGGTTTTGTGCCCCCCACAATGCTCGAGCCTGTTGCTGTCTCTGCAGCTTTTCCCCAGGGCAGATCCTGCAAAGGGTTTGGTGCTGGTGCTGAGCACCGTCACTCACAAGCAAACTACTTATCTTGTGAGATGCTCCTGCTTCTCTGTATTAAAATAAGCAGTTCATCAGCTGGAGAAAAGTATTGATCATTTGGGAGTGCTCCTTATTCCCTCCCTCTCACCCCTATTAAAAAAAAGCATTCAATGCAAACGATAAATGAAGCCTAACCTTCTCCTGTGTTGGCTTTCTGATGAGAGGTGCCTGCTGACGAAAGAGGCTGGATAACCATAGTATTTAATTGCTGTTTATATTTCTCACCTTAAAAGACAACTGATTATTTCTTGCTCATAAAAAGAGAAAGCAGCAATTATCTTGTGCTGGAGGAGCTCATAAAGTATCAGCAGTAATTAGATTCAGTAGTGGAAGGTCTCATGCAGCAAAACAAAATCTGTCATTGTAATTATTTTCCAATAAGGCAATGTCCGTGCTGCGCTGAAATGATGGGAAGTGCAAAGTTAAATCGGAGAGAAAGGAAATCAACTTTCAGAATCTAAAAAAAAGCTGATGGCAGGAGATGTTCTTATATAATTCTCATTTACTGTTTTATAGCACAGTCGGCAAATATCAAAACCAACATGACTGAGAAGGACACGGTTGGTGTGTCCAGTATCAATGGGAGCTGGGGGACTGGACCCAGGTTGAGCTGTCCCCCCTGTTTGGTTACTGACCCCACCTCCCTCAGGCTGCCCACTGTGGGACTCGAGGAGGGACAGGGATGGGGGCCCAGGGAGCCGGAGGGACAACTACCACCAAACAAGCACTCTTGCCCAGACACCCCAGGAAATGTGCTTTAGCTGGGTTAAAAAATAAGCACATTTTGTGGTTTTTTGAACCCAAGAGGTTCAATTAGCCCCATTCCTACAGATCCCACTGCCTGCTGCACTGGGGTTGCTCCTCCTCCCCACTTTTGCCAAATAAGCATTTTGCAGCATGAGCATGGGAAGATTAGCAAAGCTGACCTTTAGCGGTGAGGCAAACTCTAAAAGCAAGCACAAAGGAATTCCAAAAATGCTGAGTAAGGAAAGCCCTGAAGGACAAAGCAGCTCAGATTTAAGGTCAAATCATTCCTTCCTAGGGAAGCTCCTGTTGGGCACTGAACAAGTCCAAGAAGTGCTGGTGACCATCCTTGGCATGTGCCCTGTCCCAGCTGGAAGGAGAGGGTTTGGAAAGCAGAACTGCCCAAAATCAGAGCTGAAATTGCAACAGCCCCTTCTGCACTTACTGGAATGAAGTGGAGCTGATCTCTCTGGTGCTCATTGAGACAGTGAAAAAGCTTCAGCGAGGGCCAGGGATGGGGTGAGCAGAGCAGGAGAGGGGGATGCTGACAAATATGGGGGGATTCAGAGACTGGCTTCAGGGAGGAGAGAGGAGATGCAGGAGGGGTTTATGAAGGAGGCCTGAAGATCTGCAGGTGGCCCTGGACTTGAAGTTCAGCATCACCTTCAATCCTGGAGGGGAGCAAAAGGAGATGTGAAAGATGGTGTTTTACTCCTTGTTTGTTTGCTGCCAGCTCCATTGCCAAAATCACTTGTCAGAATCCTTTTTGCTTCATTTAATGCACCGGGAGTGGAAATATGACCAAGTGGTGACACATCACACCCACCCCGCTAGCCTTCTTGTGTCAGGTTGCCAAATACCTGACATGTGTCTTATGGACAGGCATAACAAACTGCAAATACATTTTCCTCCGAGAATCATCATTTAGATGAGAGAATATGTAAATCATAAAGGGAAAACTGAGTCTACTGACCTTCACTACCAGCTGCTGGTGCTCCAGCAGTGCTGGGGAGCTCAGGGGTGTATACATACGGGTGAACAGTTGTGAGTTAAATTGTTCCTGCTGTCATTCACCCTTCTTGTCTTTCCTTGCCTTATGACATGTTGTCACAGGAACTGCTGTGGTGGATCTCCTCTCCCCATGGCCATGG